TTTGCTTACTTCACGTGACTGCCAAAGCAGGGACTGCTAGGGCAGGAAACGTGGGCATTAACTGGTTGGCCAGGGTGCGATACGGGTGTTTCCGTTTTAGATCAATCAATAACTGAGCACTTCATCAATTCCTGGCTCAACGATCCACTCAAGATGGAACACTCACGGGATTCTCCTATCGTTCCAGTCCCCATCTGAACTGAACTGAAAAATTGTGCTTTGAGTTCAGTTTGCATTCCTATAATACATCAGCTCGATTAGGCTGCCACAATCGGCTGTTGCCATTTTCGCCGAACATCATTTTTACATCGTCTACTGTATATATCTCAGTATTGCAAGATTACACCGACAGTTATTTGGTTACATCAACTTCAAAGGTCACTTAGACTCCTTACTGTCTCTAACTTTGAATATGCACGCGAGATATCGCGCACAATCTCTCTGGGCACAAAAGTCTACGTCATTTGAAGCAAATTATGAGGAAATATTTTTACGAAAGCTTTTCCGTTTTCAGTGGATACAAATCCGTAAGATTTAGTCCAACTTTTTGGGATCTTTGCTCGATCGATCCATGACGGTGTATCTTCACTTTTCTACCCATTGGTATTGTTAATATTAACCCTTTGGTACATTTTCAGTTGATAATGTAAAATTCTGAAAACGCACCCTTTTGAGTACATAAAACTTATACTGACTTCAGTTGACTTGACACTAATCTGCTGAAATGCTAGTACTTATAGTTATTTAAGCTGCAGCAACGGTGGGTTTCGGTGCTTCTCATTCCCAACATGGCACCACACGAACGGTTTCGTCCTCGCTTGGGCTACGTTTGCGCACTAGGAAACTAGGCCGATGAGCAAACTTCACTACCTTTCTGCGTATCTAATCTTTTGAAATTTACTTGCGAGCGAATCATTCTAGCTATGTGAATCGGCAGTATCCTACCATCCGCTTTGTTTTACACCACTTGCCATTTAGGACAATGAAGGTCCAGTCATTAGCTTTCCTTGTCGTCCAACACCCTTTACGGTCTTGTGCATGATGTTGCCAAGCCTGACAAAATGCAAAACCTGCTGGTATCTTTTTCTTCTATAATTATTCAGCGCTTTGTCCCGGATGGCAACGCTTCGCACATCCTGTCTTTCGTCATGCAAAAGCTGAACATTCCGTCAACAATGTGAGTTATGCATTTGCGAATTCCAACTTCTGTTGCCGTGCAGTCAAACGGTAGTGGATGTTCACCGGAGCTTTCAGTGAACTCATTATGTAGAGAATTCAAGCCGCATACGCGTGATGTAATTCATTACTTGCATTAACCCATACGGTCCCAGGGAGACGGATTACAGTTGCGGCGTGCAAGTGCTGCTTCAATAAGTACCAGTAGCATATTTCCACGCTGTTTATAAGCAGGTCGTGTAGAAGGATTACAAAACGAGAGAATTACGTAACACCTTGACAGTATGCATCTGGATATGTCAGCAAATGACCAGTTGTTCTTACGGTCAACCCAGGTAAACAACTTTGGTCAGGAAACTGAAGCGTGATTGACCCAGTTAACACACCTCGCTTCTTCATAGTGACAGTATTTATCATTGGCAAGAGAAATATGATGATACAAATATAGATTGGCTCACCGAGTGCAGATACGCCGTTATCTCCGCGGTTGATCCATTGGCAGAGAAATTCATCAATAGTTGGTTTGAATCTTCCACGTCTCTTTGTCAAATCCTTCATGACATCGTGCTACCTTCCCGGCTAGCCACTCTTGGATTATACCGATTTAAGCATAGTGAAACACACTAAGGTAACTAGTTAAATCGCTCGCGCAAGACACAATGTAACCAAAGTAATCGGTTCAAATTAAGCAAAGTTTTAGTGTGGTTCTAATGTCTATTTCTCCACAATATTTTGTGGAATTCAGGCTTGCTGACGCGGTTCTTTCCCCAAATGTGAGCAATACTCATCAACTCCAGGTGATTCCTTCGACGGGAATCACCGTATTTCTTGTACACACAGTTAAACTGGTCTTAACGCTGCACACCCTGTCGTTGGTTAAATGTCGTTTCAACCAATTATTACTATTTCTGATAGCACTAGGGTGATCTGTTATTGCACAGATCAACAACATCGGTTATGTGCGTTCAGGGTTGATGCACCTACTGCTGAGCCGATCCATCAGTTCATATGCATGTTCTGTGATAACTGTACCTGGAAACATATCATTCCAGTTCTACAAAGTTTCGTTCGTAGGATATACCGAAGTGCGCACTGGTCTAAGCTCATTTATCCACAAGTGTTCCTACAGAGAGTATATGGTCCAGAGACACTGATGTTGCTTGCCTAATGAAGTTTAACTGCGATCACTCGGTAGCACTTCCCCTCCGGTAGCCATGGTCGTCTATCGTCGTGTCGATCACCACGCCGAAGATAAAAAGGATATAGAATAACTTCGGCCGATTCAATTATTAATGTCTGCAAAGTCATTAAGTATTCAGTTTCGTTGTTATTTACTCATGTCGGATGATGAAGTGACGCTCACTTTACAAGTGTCTGTCTGATTTGGTTATCGAGAGTTGCCTTGAACCGGCTATTTTAAGCCGTTTTTTAAGACCTTGATCAGTACGCATAGTTGTTTAGCGCTTTAGAGCGGGAAAGCCTGCGGTGTGCTGAGGTTTGCAGTGGTTAGCTCTTGACTGATTGTCTATCTACTGCGGCTTATGTTGTCCGATGGACTGGTATCCTGGACGCCTCCTCTTGGCGGCCGCTGGGTGAGAGTTGGGTTACGCCCTTCTCCTAGCTAGGAGCCAGGACACCATTCCACATTAGTCAGTGAACTGGCCTTGCACTAGACCCGTTGCCATTCGGGTGGGTGTACATGTTATCAAAGGCTTTGGCTGAGGACCCGAATCGTTCTCCTGTCAGATGTTAGTGCCCTGCCAGTATCTTAGTCGATCCTCTTTGGAAGTTAGGAAGTGGTCGATGGCTTTCTTTCCGTAAAACCTAGCCATGGAAGACAACAGGTCTACGGATTCTAAGCTCACCGCTCCATTGGCGTTGAGCGCGAGCGCCTTGTGCATCAGACTATGGCGTCAAAGGCTCTGGGCGGTTTCCTTCAAGCGAACCTCCAATCCACCCACTGTCCTGTGGGTCAGGCCATTGAGCCAATGTCTTCGGGCGGAGTCCATCAAGCAAACCTCCGGAGCACAACCAAAAACACTCGTGTTATTGCCCACCAATGCAATCCTTTGCCTGTGTGCAAAGCATTCCACATCGGTTGCTAGAACGTGCGCACACTACTGAACCGGAACTCGAGTGAGCGCCCCGAGCGACGCACTGCGCTCGTCGCGATGGAACTTGCGCGGTACAACACAAGTGTTGCGCCGCTCAGTGAGGCCTGTCTCGCTGAGCAAAGCAGATTGCATGAATCTGGCTATACGTTCGAGTGTGATGGATACGCCTCCTTAGCACCACGTGATCATGGGGTCGAATTCGCACTATCCGATCGCCTTAATGGCCAGCTGGTGAGTGAGCCGACTGACATCAGCGCGCGACTGATGACTACTCACGTGTGACTCGGTTGAGGTAGGTTTGCCACTTTTATAATCAAGTATGGTCCGACCATGTGTAATCCTGATGCCACACGCGATTAATTTTACGCTCAGTTATCCTCCGTGATACGGTCTGTGCCGAGGAGCGACCGACTATTTCTGCTGGGTGAGTTCAGTGCGCGCGTGGGGCGTGATGCATCCGTGTGGACAGATGTTATCGGTCCGCATGGCATCGCTTCGGCGAATGAAAACGGTGACAGGCTTCTCTCACTTTGTGCTACGCCTGGCCTGACGATCACGAACACTCGGTTTGCACTGAGTGCGAGTGACATTGCAACTTGTACGCACCCACGGCGTCGTCACGCTCACCTGCTCGACCGTGTCATCGTACGTCATGGTGGTATGCGTGAAAAGCGCATGACACGTGCACTGCGTGAAGCCGAGTTTGGAACTGATCACAAGTTGGTGCGGACCAAACTGCACATGTATTTTCGGATAACTATGGACTACACTCCCGCCGTGAACCGGCATAAAGTTAACCTTTTCTTCCTCAGCACTATGGCGAAGCGTATTCAGCTGGAGAAGGCGATGGTTGCACGGCTGTGTGATGTGCAATTCATAGCCACAGTGGGCGACCTGTAGCACAACATGCGCGACCAGGTGACAGCTGCTGCCGAGGAGACCATCGGGCGCTCAAACTGTAGGCGGCCGGACTGCTTAAATGACAACAATGTAACAATTGTGGCATTTGTGTCGGAGAACTATGCAACATTCTCTACCCATGTGACCGTCCGCAGTGACTTGGGCAAAAGGGGTGACTTTCGCAGATTTCCACGGCGACTGACTTGTGAGCTCCGTCAAATTGAACATGCATTGTGGACGGAGAAGGCGAAGCGGATGGAATGCCACCCTGAACGCCACCAACACAAAGTATTCTTTGACTCCTTGAAGGCGGTGTATAGACTGAGGTTGAAGACGCTGAGAACGCTGCTCGATGGTAGCTCAGACATTGCTGGCACACAAACTGCAGACCTAATGTAGCGAAAACGACTCGGGGGAGGCAGAGCGCGTATTTCCACAAGTACGTGACACTGACAACTCATATACCCGTACACAGTTGGACCGTGTTTCCTTCCCACGACGCAACGCGGATGAGGTTGTATGTGACGGGCCATTCCACGTGCTTACAAGGTTGGACTCCGAGACAACCCGTCCATCTTTCTATCCCGTGTCGCCGCTTCGCTACATCCGATTCTGGTCGGCTGAGTCATTCAAAAGCTCGTGATTTGCTCTCCCGTGGCTGCATCACTCGAGTTGAGTTCACTCCTTTAGGATTCGCTAGCAGTGTATTTATCTGATTCTTTGCGTTCTCGACAAACACCTCCTCCATTTTCCTAGGCCCAGGCTCGTTACCAGATGCCGCTCGTGATCCGCTTTCGACTCGATCCGAAACGCTCGCAGGGCCTTGTCTCATTCATTTCGCCCATTCTTAATACTCTACAATCCCTTTTTTGTTGTCGTCCCGATTCACGAATAGTCACTGGCTTCCGCCGCTCTACAGTAATGCAGGTCTGGCGAAATCCCTTTAGTCATCTCTTGTACAACCGTTCGGATATTGACTGCCTTACATTAAACGGCCTCGATCGGAACGAGTTGAAGATAAGTCTGTCAGACACGCCGACCCTAGATAAGACGCAGAGTGCACTTGCTCAGCTGCTAAATGGAAAGTATGTCGGCGCCGACGGGATCCCACTTGAGGTATTGAAACACTCCAGACGCGCGTTGGTGAATGCGTTGCGCCACTTTTTGCAACATTTAGGGATTGAGGAGGAGGTGCATCCTGAGCTGAAGGATTCCCTTGTGCTACCACTGTACAAGGTCAAATGATGCAAGTCATGTTGTACGAATTATCGTGGCATCAACTTGCTGAGTTGTGTGGGCAATGTGATTGCCTGAATCCTGTTTAACCACCTCGTCAGTCAGGTTGTGGAACCGAACGCGGCGGAAGAGCAGTGCGGATTCCATTCGGGTCGCAGCACTATCGATATGGTGTTTGCGGCTCATCAGTTGCAGAAGAAGTGCAGAGAACGACACCAGCCGTTGTATTCACTGTTTGTTGCTTTCACTAAGGCATTTGATACGGTGAACCGCGAGGCATCGTGGGCTGGTGTTTGTTAAGTTTGGTTGCTCTCATAAGTCTGTAAGTTTACTTGTGTGTCTGCACATTGTTATGCGGGCTAGGGTGCAGCTGAGTGAAGAGACCTCGGATAACGTTGCAATTGTCTCTGGTGTGAAGCAAGGCTGTCTTAGCTCCTGCCGTCTTTAATGTTTATCTTCTTGCAATGATGTCTTATGTTTTTGATGCAGCTCATGCTTACGGTGTTTGTGTGGAGCACCGTATTGATGGTCGGTTGCTGAGCATTTGTGGTTTTGGTGCGAGGACCATAATCTATGAGACAACTATCCGTATGCTGCTGTTGCCTGACGACTGTGTATTGTTTGTACACAGCGCGGAAGAGTTACAGCACATGACTAGTACTCTGGCTTCGACAGCGGCCAAATTCAGACTCACCATCAACACAAGCAAACTGTCTGTCTCTTTCAGCCTTCACCCGAGGTGCAATCTTCAATATTGCCGAAAATCGGCATTGATGCTGTAGTATTTGAAACTACCTCCCGCTTCTGTTATCTTGCGAGTGTGATGTCGACTGACCAGCAGCTACACAGGGAGCTTCGTGTCCGCGTATCGAGGGCAGGTTTGGCAGTCGGGGGCTAGAGTACCGAGTGTGGAACAACCATCAGCTTACCATTGGCACGAAGCTGATGGTGTACCAATCCATGGTGCTGTCCGTTTTTCTATACGACAGCGAAGTGTGAATGATATACCGGTCCGATGTGCGATATCTCAAGCGGTTCCATCAACAGTGTTTGTGTTGGATTCTGCGCATCGGTTGGTGCGACCCAGTTGTGGACACGGAAGTGTTGCTGAGACACCTGAGTTGGCTTGGTTATATGAGCCGTATGGATTCGACGCGGATACCGAGACAACTATTATACGGTCAGCTGAGTATTGGAAAGCAGCATGTGGGGAAAGCAAAGTAACGTTACCAGGACATGATCAAAGTGAGCCTCTCACGTTCCAATCTTGATTGCAGATCATGGGAATCGAAGGCGTTTGATCTGCGTGCATGGCGCAATCTAATCACGAAGGCAGTTGCCGAAATGCGGGAGAAAGACCTCATACATGCAGAGAAGAGGCGGCAAATGCGGAAGCGGCAAGCACTGATGGGTTGTACTCCATTGACATCGAGCGCATAGTGTTGTAGCACATTTGGTCGCGAGTGCCTGAGCCAGGCAGTTCTAGTGAGCCACGAGCGAGGCCACTTAAGGCCTGCTTATAAATGGTGACGGGGGCTGCGGATAACGTAGGCAGAATCGGCGCAGAGTTGGTAGGTACGCTGCATTCGATTTACTAACCGCGTGGTCGCGTGCTGAGTTTCTTTGTTTCAGGTGATTGGTTTGCTATATTTCGCTAATGCTTACTTTGTTAAATAATCTTAAAGTCTGTCTGTATACCCTTCTTTTTACTTGCTCACGTCGGTTAAGCGGATTGTTTTTAGATTCGTTAAGTTTTCGCGTTTGAAGCATTGTTTAAAGAAATCTTTGGCTGATATCTTGATCTTATTGCGGATTTGTTGCAGCGCAAGCCATCCATGGTCTCTCTGTAGACGCAGGCGTTCTGTGTCTGTCCTATGGGGGCCACAGTGACAGGCACATCCGGAACCGGATGCCGCCAACCATAGCGCGTTAACCGGAAATCCAGGTTACACGTAACACTGGACTACCTCGATAGCAACCCGTCTGTCAAAATTAGTCGTATTCTTTTCGAACCTCTGTGTATGCAGTGGTTGTGGATTGCCATGCTAAGTTACTACACTGTATCGTTTGTCATTCGAAGCCCAGTAATAAGATCTCAGGAGCAGGCTGCGCATCTCACCAGCTGCTTTCAGACATTTACTGAGTATACACTGGTCAATAATTCTACCAGTAAACTTTGCAACTGTTTCATTTTTGCTTTGGTGTCTCTTACAGTGATTTTCACACTGCATTATACATGTGTGCTGCCCCGTTCCAAAGTATGGAAATGCCGGAATACTTGTCACGGTTCCTGAAATGGTCGCAGTGGATTGTTCCTGGCTACATTTATGGAATGTTCAAGTTATCACAACTGCGTTGGTCAATGTTATCAAGGTATGGTGTTAGCTGGTCCACAATGTGCCTCTTGATGTAACTGCGTTCCGGCACATTAACCGAGGGCTGTTTGGATGTCCTTGAATTTCGGTTTTCCAAATGCAGTGGTCCAACAGTATTTTTATAGATGTTTCAAATCGCACACGTCACAGTCTTATCCAGCATTACAACTATTTTACTTCATCGATTACCTACCGATTTGAAAATATCTACTAGGATGCTGGGAGGTAGTATTATTTTTGTACAGAAAGTTTTTGCGGAACATTTTCTCTGATATTTTTTGCGATGCGTCTGAGCTGATCCACGACGCGTGTCGCCCTGAGCTAAATCGAATTACATGTCGATGAATCAATCTCAATGTTCGCGGTAGCGATTCGGCCTATCGAAAACTGGTTCATTGATATCCTCAAAATATTAACAGGATGAAATTCACCCACTACATTTCTTACAAAATTACGTCGGGTTAATAAAATTCAGTATCATCAGGAGTCTCAGTACGGCCATTACGAAGGTAGATAGCACGGTCACCGCCACGTTGGCGTGAACGATTTTTGTGGAACAGTTACTAGCCTAAAAAGTTAATCTGAAAGTCATTAATTTGTGATGTGCACCAGGTTTCAGTAATAAAAGCAATATCAGGGGATTTCATAAACATAAGCTTTGGAAGTTAATCCAATCTAGCTAATGCAAAACGAATGATACTAATGACAGGTTTAAAAGTGACTGTTAGAGTGGTGGACGCAGTTAAAGTCTTCGTCACTGTAGCAAAAAACTATGTTGTCGGATAGCTGAGTCGCACTGTGCTTTGCATTGCACTGGATTAAATGAAGTACGTATTCCATTAACTGAATTAATCTCAGACTCATAATAACATATGATGGTGGCTCAGTTGGTGGGGGAAGACGTAGGGGCATACGATAGTCCAGAATGGATGTATATTTGTAGTATACGGAGGTGGAGGATACTGTAGTCTGAGAGATATTTTAGATCGGATTATAATGTTTTCGGTTTACTAATGAAAAGGGGGTGAGTGAATCACGAGTTGATGCGGTTGGTGCTTGTGGATTCGAAAAGTCTATCACTATTCGATTGCTTATTTCGGTGTTACGCTTATAAGCGTTTTGACAATTTAGAGCCGCCGGAGTTGGAGTCACACTCAGAGATGTTGTCGGTAAACACTGGGTCATCTTGCTGCTGTTTATCCCGGTATCACTTTCAGTGTATCACGCGGAAGCCTGAAACCACACGCTTTGTCTCATCTGATCTAGCTGGATATCTCCATAATCTTCTAGTGGTCGTTTCAAATGTACTGAGATTCGTGTGTTACTGCAGGAACTTCTGAGAGGTTGTTTCCCGCTGCATTCGCCTACTACTCGATTGGATATAGATTTGGTTTTAGCGGTGAACGTGTAACGAGTTTTGGTTGTGAAGTTGATAGGTCATAGCTACACCTACTGCCAAGTTTGGTAAAATCTCGTGATTGTAAAAGAGACAGAGGAAGTGTATGTGAACTATGGAGGTATCTCATGACTCGGTATATTATTAGCTTGGTTGGCGCTGATAGGGAGGAGCACATCAGTACTGCTGCTTTGGAATCTCTCAGGTGGACGTTGAGCACTGGTATGCAAGTCATCACCTATTCTGAATGATGTTGACTTGTCGAGGTCGATATTATTGATTCATGCATCATTACTGATTCCACTAGGAGGAAGAAAAAATGTTCGGGGGTTCTGGGTTAGTCGCTTTTGAAGAGTTGCTTGATCGTGTTTAAACTTATTGTTTTTTTAAAGTAAGGTTATGCGACAATAAGTCTTTTATTGCGTACAAATTGTAATCCGCTCGTAGCGTCAGGAAACTACAGGAGTATTGGGTCTAACGTTATGTTTTCCTTCTGTCGAAATCTGAGGCATTGACAAGTGATTGCATCTATATTGCCTGATGTTAGATTAGCATTTTTAACTTCCTCGGTATTTAGCTTACCAGGTGTGTTGAAGATGAGATCATTTTGCAATTTACGAGGGTGTTCCGAAGTCTCAGATATGATTGAAGATAGTAAGAAACCAGCCGTACATATGCGATCTAGCGCAACATTTGCTTACCCTCGAAGTAGTTCACAGAGCGATGGAACTTGATCATAATTAATGCTAGTCTCATGATTTTTGCTTGACAGCGTGGCAACTTCTTCTTCGACAGCGATAATGCGATTGACTATTTCGGACGGAATGGTGGTAGCGAAGATGGGATAGTTCAAAGATAAATCCGACTTTTTTCGGAGTTTGGGTGATAACTTCGTTTTTACTGCACTAACTGATGTATTAGTAGCAGTGAAATCTATGTGTATTATGATCGTTTCTGTTTCACTTTCAACTTAGGTAAGGAGTTTTTCGTACTCCCAGTGTCTATCAGCATATCTTGGGAATACCTATTGAAAGTGTTAAGATGATGAACCTACAGCTTTTAATTACTAGGATTGAGTAGTAGGACAGCCACAGGAGGACGAGTAAAACACATGCCGCACTGTTTCAAATTGTTACAACTCGGCCGTACTGCGATCTCAAGCCTACTCATGAAGCACGTTGCCTTATGACTATATAATCTCACCAAGTGCTCCACTCAAAAGAGCCAAATGGACCGAAGTGGCGACCCTCATTGCATATAAAATGGCGCGAATAAAAGCGTGTTAAAACGGTGATGACATGTCTGATTTTAAATCACAGCAGAACACAACCAGATTGGGCTGTAGTGCCCGCCATAATCAGATATAAAATGGCGCAACATATGTATGCAAGCGATGATGTAGTACTTTTCTAAGTCACACCGGCACATTGCCAGATGGGCTTGGAAGTGCGGGTGAAACCCTAAGGGGGACTACCCCGCACGGAAGCAGGTCCCCAAAAGATGGTTCCACGAAGTCTTATTACTATAATTGAATTTTAAAGCTTTGCTTTTTTCTTTCAAATCTGCTACGGCCCTTGCTCTATTTTAATGTATCTGTTGCCTTCTGTGGTTTATTTGCGTAACCCGATTGTGAAATCCTACTCATGCCGAAAATCGAGAATATTCATTATTATTAGATATCCATCCACAATCTACTTCGTCTGATCGTAGGTGATGGGTGTGATCGCTCTCTAAGAGGAATACCTACGGGTTGGGGACTGGGACCACAGAGTGTGTTAAAGCGTGTTCTGCCAAAGTCTTCTTACTACGCTGTGCTTGTACTCAGCTTGGCTGATCACTACTGCTCTCCTTCTGTAGAATTCCACTGAACATACTTTTACGCTCCATGTACTAATCGACCCCTGCAAATTATTTTAGGTGAGTAAGTGAGGCAGCAAGTTTTCTAGTCCAGTTTTGTTAATGATTTAGAACTGGAATGATTTTTGAAGTATAATTCGTGTTGAGAATCCTACCTGTTTACTGGTCTGACTCGGACGTCCACATGAGAGATGCACCTTGTAATGGTGCTTTTAAATACTAGATCATTCCCGAGGGATCCGAATGTGCTACTTTGTCGTGATTTGACAAAGCTTTCTCCATCTAACTGTCCGCTTTGAAGTTATGTTATACAAGATAGCATCAATTATCATCTCTGCACCATTTTTGATCATTTTTTATGCACTCGGAAGACTGGAATTACACCAAATAGGTGGTCAGGGAAAACCAACGCGCTCGGAATCGAGGATGCAGTCAGGATAGTTTTGCAATGGAATCTTCTGTAGTTGACTACATGCTAGTGATTTTCACCTCAGAGAACCTCGCTGAGTTTGATGGTAGTGTCTCATTAACATCTTCGCTCGGCAACATTTTGAAAAAAGCAAATGTCATTCCTACCAACACAGAAGTATCAGCATTTTATGATGACAGTATATTTACCGTTAGAAAAAGATCTTGTCAAAGCATATAAAAGCGTTGAATGTTTCATGCGTTTACTTAGTTTTGTGGGCTATCTTCGGTCTTGTGGACTTCCCTCTTTGGAACAATTTCCCTTTTCATGGTTATTCCCCAAGTAACGCTGCAGTATACCTTAGTGCTCAGCGGCTGCATGGTTAAATGAAATGTCCTGACACAATCTGTATCAAAGGGTTTCTCGTTTTCTTCTTTGCAGAACCGCGAGGAAACTGTCGACGCGACAGAATCATACGGACACTAAGCATGAACAAACACATGTCTCTATCACAGAGCTATGGCATGCATGTGAGTCATCCGGTTTGAGTGTAGTACTCATCGCAAGAAGGTAGTGAAATACATAGTAGTATATCGGAATTCCTCTCAAAGATGCTAACCTAATTCCACCCGGATACATTCAGGGCGTTGCAGCTCGAGTTGGCGCGCACGAACTAATTGACTAATTTGGGAAACCCCAAGCAAACTGAAACCTACTTCTGTCAACCGCAGCACTTGGTTTTGGTAACTTTGGAAATTGTGTGCGTGTCTGCTGAACCCTTGCGTATGCACTAAACGAGAACCCAGATTGTTGGGCTTAGTGACACTGATATTTTCCTATATTGAACTGTTTGAAAAAAAACGTTGATCGTCTTCGTTGATGGTGAACTGCTTTAATGAGTTTTGACCTTGTTGATGCAAATGTATGGAGAGATAATGCGACGACATTTACTGATTAGTTCTTGATTGGTTCTGAGATAAGTTCGGCATTTTCTCCATACAGTACAATGTCGTTTCTCATCGCTAGAGCATAATTCACTTTTACTTCATGAAGTTAAACGAAGGGATTCCGTGGTCACTGCGTCAAGTCCGAGTTACACTTTCTTACTGGATTGCGACTGTGAAACATCGGCGATGTCCTGCTGCTGCGTCAACCGCGCAACCCATGGGGTTCCGATGTAGTTTTGAAATAAACGATAGTTACAATTCGCCACCTTCCTATGGAGAGATTAGGAGTCATTTATTTATAAGAATTCAGTGTCAGTTTATTGTCTCATATCAACCAGATTTAATGATACAGAAGCGGTCGACTAGAAGATAATTGGGATAGCATCGACGCAGCTTATCGGAAGTTCTCTTTAATTTTGCTTATTTACCATCTTCCCATTTTTGTATTTGCCAACTCTGGAACACCTGAGAACCGATACAGCATCGTAATTGCCGCGGACAGAGAAAGTTTAAGAAAAAGTTCGCTTATTATCGCCGATAACATGCGTCCAATTGAATGTCATTATTGTGTCTTTCTGTAATTTGCTGCATACTGCGCTTGTGTACAGAGTAACAGATAGCCGGAACAGATGGTTACTGAAAAGTGAACACGGCTCTATCATATTTTTATAAACTTAGACAGAAGCAAAAACTTATTTCCTTTTAAATAAGACTGCAACTCCTCATTAGGGATCCAAGTTTACAAGCTTTGGGGTGATGACGTGGGGTCATTCGTTAATAATCACGCACTCATGCGTTTCGAGTTGAATTTGCAGCATCGCACACTATTGAAGGCCTTATGGTTGATAGTTGGGAGGGCACAGTGTAAACATCTGTCACTAGAAGCAACTCGGTGATATACTTTGGGCACAAATCAGATGCTTGTCAAATATCAGGTGCATGTATTTCCTACCGTCTCCTCAGTGCCGAAAACTGTAACTTGGAATTACAGTAGCTATATAGTGCAAACAAACGATATCCTGGGAAATCTGAGGTTAACCGGTAAACGCTTTTAGACACAAAGCATCGGTTTGATCTGGCTTATTGCGGGGGCCTCAGCGAATCGAAGGAGCTTGGAATTGTTTTTCAAACAATAAAAACTAAGTTATGGAGAAGGTTTTGCCAGCAGAAGTACATGTTTAGCCACTGCCCAGGTAGCCATAGCTTCTCTACTTTTTATTATGCAATTCTCTTTTCAATTGTCCTGGCGAATTAAGAGTCGTAAATGCTGGAACTTCGTTTGTTTCACGGATTCTTGATGTTAAAAGCTAGGTGATGTTATACATCCTAATACACCATTGAATGATGCAACTAGAGCATATTTAATGCTTTGTGACACCCCACGCTACTCAACAGTGCACAACATCGCGTTTGGGCTGCTTGCATGGAGCACCGTAAGGATGAAATATCTTTGGACTCCGCACCTCCTACTCGTCGCATCCATTGGTCTGATCCATTTGCACTCAATCGTCAGCACTGCATGCATCTATGCTGTGAATGGTCGTCTAACATATCGGACGCGCCAGCATCTACCCACAGATGAAATTGTTCAACACAGTAAAGGATCACGTCATCAAGAAGCCAAAGAGAAGACATCAAATATGCACTCTCGCTGGGCCCGCTGGATGACCTACAGTTCACTCTGTGTGCTTGCATCCCATATCGGTCTGAGGGTAAGTTACACGGAGAGCTCGATGCACCGTTCACCTTTTAGTACCAGAGTAACTACCTTTGATAAGACTTGCAGCGAATACTTGGAGCGGCTTTTTATCTATAGATAACATTTCTCTAGTAATATTTGAGCCTGTATCATATTGTGTGCTTGTGTGGTTCCGCCTTGCATATGCAAACTACCTAGCCAAGTGCGTAAAAGCGAGCATTAATTAGCACCATTGCTTTAATAAATAGGTCAATTTGCCTTAGTTCTAAGCTCAGCCCATGCTGCGTGCTGACTGTTGATTTCCGTCGGACTTCAAGCAGCAAAATAGGTCACTTATTTCGTTGTTTATACTCGAGCGTACCAGTCTTTATATTGTGTTTTGGAAGAATGAGATGTCGTTGTATATTTTAACTAGAATTCAGAATAGTTATCCACTTATAACATCATATTGTGTCCGACAACTCTGCATGGGAAGACAATGCCACATGGTTTAACAATGTAGAATACACGGCGACGGAGTTGGTGTAAACGGATGCAGGGATAGGCTACAACGTCGTTAGTTGCCCAACATATACATACTGCTGCTGTATCCAATGTGACTAACAAGCAACCTGCTTGTTCATTGATTTTCAACTATTCCTCGAAATATGTCAATGAAAACTCCCAGGATGCGTCAGTTTTGGCATGGCAAGAATCCCAGTACACTAGAACGGGAGCCAATAAACTCCACATTGATCAAACACTCTTGACGATACCTAAGCTAGCTAAAGATTTGACGGACGTGCCTGCGCTGGAAGTGAATCGGCTGTAGGCACACGCGTGCAGTAATAATCTTTCACTCATGCATGATATAGGAGGGAGCAGGCATCCGCCACATGATGACACACCTACCGCCGTTTCGCTGCTTTGCGAACGCTAACATTCGCACGCGTTCTTAGGGTACTGCGAAGCCGCCCCCAGCTTGGCAGATTCAGACTAGGGATTTTGATTACAAGACAGACAACTCATTCTTAATTCCACCAGCCTATCCATCCTAACAGAAGCATGCTTGTCTTTAGGTGCGAAGTTCACTTTGTCACTTTATGTTAGTCGACGGAATCGGCAGTTGCTAGCAAAACATACACAAAACACCATAAGTTTGGCGGATTATTGTGTGTAACCGACAGTCCAATAACACCATGCCGATCTAGCGGTCGAGATATACTGCTGCGCCCTGGTGTTAGCGTAACGGAATGATATTTGCGGTAAAAAAACTGTGCATTCGTTCCATTGTTACGCTTGAGCCATGCACAGAAATGGTGTGCCCGCGGACGGTTTCGCCCTTGGTTGACACATCAGGTTGATAAGACTGAGTGGAACTTTGTTTGTAGTACCCAGGGTTCCTTTGACCCAAAGCTTCCGGAAAAGTCCAAATAAAAGTGCAGTTTATCGTGGAGCACGCCGCAAATAACAGTACTAAATTTATCGTACTGGAAGCAAATTACTAAAAGTCACTTCTACCTAAGCTGTAGTCCTGACAGATCTGCATTTCTCTACTGATTTCATGGTACAAAAGCCGTACTTCAGATAGTTAATATCAACAACCAGTATTTTTGACCTAATTTTCTGCGTGCTTCCCTGTGAACCGTTGTTTTTTTGGGATCGCTGTTATTAACTTGACGTCTTCTCCCTAATGGCACCCTACAAATTGGCTGGAAGCATGAAAGCTACCTACTTACTATAGTAACCGAGTTGACATAAACTCACTAGAGTGCTATTCATGCTGAAAAATACAAGGACTGTACAATGGTAGGATAATGAAGAAAGCAATCGCGAATACACATGAGTCCGCTGATTTCATAGCAATAAGTATCGGGTCTAAAAAGTACTTAGGGTGACAAAACGGTTTCGGCCGCATTCTGTGGAATACTCACATGGGCCGCTGTCCCTGAGTGCCAGCAGATCAGTGGTTCTTCGATGATCTTTTCCGGCCGATGGTAACAGGTGACCCACGTCCCCCCCCCAGTGTGAATGACCACCACGCATCATACCGCAGAATGATTTGCTATATATCTTTGTGGCATTGAGAGTAGAGACAGGTTTTTCTTGTGCCGTGGCACTTCGTAGCAATATATTTCACCTTTCTATTCAGACAGCTGCGGAGTTTTCGCACAGTCTGCAGGAACTGGGTGAATTCTATGACCCGGACACTGTTGCATTGATGGAGTGGATTCAGTAAGTTTAAGTTGGTCAATTCATACGCATTGCTGTTTAGCCTTTCTACCTCTATCTTCATGTTCGGGGCGAATAAACAAATCTGATCGACGAGGAGTAAATAATGGATAAGGATTTTTAACTTTTTTTTAATCGCGGACGCATCTTGCACAATATTGCAGCTTCCAATATAGTGGAATCGTTTCATTAAATAAATACTTTAAGACAACGGGTAAATATTTAATGTCCTGAATTATTCACCGTTACTGCGGTAACTATGTTAGCCTGATGAAACTACCGGAAAAGTTGCCAGGGACTCGAGTTATGACAAATCAATGACATCTTCACAATCTTGGTAGTCCGCTTTTGCGTTAATCGGACGTAATTACTGAAAATGTCCCTAAGTGACGCTTTGAACTCGACTGTCCGTTTTCGCGTTGCTTACCATATAATGTATTGTGGCACCAATCACACATAAATGACCCCATTTAACTTTAATCTTTTTTAGTTTCCCTCGGCTTACCGTGACGTAAAACTCGAGGTTGTTACGAAACACAGGCACATGGCGCAAGATTACTAGGGCTTGAATTACGTGTAGATTTGTTGGTGAAACCGTTCTTCGGGTTTCTATCAGTACCGATATTCACAATTGTGGCTACATATTACTGTGTGCTAGATGTCACCAAGACTGGTGTTGAAACGACTGCAACCGAGCCACCGGTCTACACAAATGAATGAGGAGCCACTCAGCCAACACAGGATATCAAATATTTTGGGATGTAGCAGACAATTCCTCGTTGGTTTATGTATTAAATGATGGGGTGAACTTTTTCCTGTACACAACAGCGAATGATTTTAAAAGATTGTGGTTTATGGGCGAAGTTTACTACGGTTAATAGATGTCAGCAAACGCAGATATTGGTTAGTTGATCACCGCATATTTTGAATCGTCTTTACTTGTTTCTGATACCGCTTGCTCTAATAACTTCAAGCGGTATACACCAAGTTAACGGTAGTGCTGATGTTATCCAGCGCAATATAAAATCTTGCCCGCATTTAAAACCCTAAACACACTTAACATGTCCTGAGAAATATTCACTACCAGAGGCTTCCTTATCAGCCATCAGCTCCAAGTCATCTATGCGAAGGGAGAAAAGGTGTCATTTTGAAACCGGTCGTGGAGTGCGGTGTTTCTGGCGAGCACCACGCAATATCCATCTATCAAGTGATACCTTTCATAAATTTGGCTCCGCTTCAAAATATCTGTGTGTATTGTGCGAAATCTCTTCACTGCGGTGCAAATGGGCATGTGAATCATTTTCGAACTTTTCCTACCTAGTTGATCACACACTCAATGAACCGACAGCATTTCATATCTGCTTGACTCATTTGCCTTGTGCTCGTTTGCCATACACAGCATCTAATTAGACTCCGGTCCGTTAGTTCAGGTTTTTACGTCAAAAGTTCCAGGATAACCGACATCAACCTAAGTGAAATCGTTAATCGAGCTGTCAAAGTAAGCAAGTCAAAGCGGGATATGTCGCAGTAGTCTATGTGTTTGTAATTGATTTTCCATATGATAAAATTTTAGGAACATTGTTGGGATAGTGCTAGTTATCCGTTGTCACATTTGGCCAATTTCACTTCTGTTCATTAGGATGTTGGAAGCGAATCAGTTACACATAATATAGAAGTGGCGTTTATGTTTCGCCGGTCTACAACTAATCTGCATTGGAGCAAGAGGTATATCTTCATACTGCGGAGCAAACCCGGAAGAAGCTGTCATGATTACCTAAATTTTCGTTGATAATGCGCTTTCCCAGCTGCTTAAGTTTTACATTTTTCGGGACTACGGATTATGTCTTTCCTTCGGCTACTCTTGCAGTGCTGCTATTCACACCCAGAACTATTGATATTGATTAAGCCCAAACGCTTTCACGCGATGTTCTGCTTATACTGTCCTCCGGTAACTTGTGTGCACCTTTAGCCATACGGCATACGGTACTTGACAGTAGTCTTTTATGATCGTGTAGGTAAGAGCAGTGTTCTACCAGTTCAGTTGATAGGCTACTGATGAGAACCTCAACTAGGAACTTCGTTGCAACCACGCTTAGTCGAGCACTAAAGATACATACGATTTAATAGACGGCCAAGTCACTTTGCGTTCGCACTAGCTTCATCAAGCCCTACCTTTGAACTCTAAGAGGTTCGAAATCAATACCATAAGGCAACTGCCAACGTTACCGCGTCATGAATGACCATGGTAAACTGTCAATACTAGTTTTTCAAGGCATAATTGACGGAGTTTTCTCATGTTTATTCGGCGTGATCTAACCTATCGCACATGTGGATGCGAACAAGAATGAGGAAGACCGAAATGTGGTCTCATTTGGAGACAGTCTTTGTGCAAACGCTCATCCCTGCTGGTCCTCTGCTTTCGGCTTCATGGTTGGATATGGTCATGGGCAGTGTAACACGCAGACCACCAATAGTTCCTCGGTAGGTTTAAACGCTGTGAAATGTCGCACTGTCAGTACAGGTAAATCTGCAAAGGAAAATTGCCAACTGTGCACAGCAGTTGAAGTCCTGCTCACTAAAATTCCATATTGGAATCAACTTAACCATTTCCACTCAATACAGAGGAAATACAGACCCAAACGCTATCTTCACTGGCTCAATGCAGCTGATGGCTGGAGTTAAGTTGTGCACCGGACGGCCGATTGCAAACCATCCACATTATGAAGACGCTGGGCTTCGTGAACGAACCCGAAAGGTAAACTCCGTATACTCTTTGTTGTTGTAGAACAGTTTTAATAATGAGATTTCAGTCGTTAAATTGTTCGGTGACTTTGGCGATTTTGTTGTAGGTATTCCATTCCTGGAATTGCGTATAACGAATTTTTTCGAGTACTTTACAGTCAGCTTTACACTGCTTATGCCACCTCTATAGGTAACGAAATGTCTGCAACTAAACTGGCATGTTCGAGGAACAATTAATTGTCCTCATCGTCAGGCCGAACTGTGATTTTAGTTGCATTAGCCACTCGGCTTCAAACTAAATTGCGTCTTGCTTGTTACTGTGCATGTGAAAAGTAGCTGTTGTCAGCCTTGTGCACAAGTGGGTACCGCAAGTCAGTTAACGTGGCGTGACATCTGTGGGACCAATGAAAAAATGGTTTTATACGGACAAAGCTTAACAGGCCCCGTAGGATGTTCATGGTGAAACTTCAAAGTATGGAAGAATTGTCAGCAAGTTAGGTTTACACCGGTGGACTCGCCGCGATATACTAGTATAAACTGTAATTTAAGTGTAATCCATAAGGAATGACAACGAATGCGAAGTTGGCTGTATCCTGGTGAAAATATAAAAGAGGGGAATAAGGTGGAATGGATTCTGGCAGTTGACCGGACACTTGCGTTTATTTGTGAGTAATGTCATTTGACATTATACAGCGAAATAAATGCACGGTCTACTTTGGCTTTGAACTCTGCTAGCGTTGGAGCACATATGGCAGATTCTCGTCCGGCATTCCATGTTTTGCTAATGCGTACGGAAATGAAATTCCGACAGCATTCCAAGCGACTATGCCGCGGAGCCAGCTTGAGATGGTGGGCTTTCAAACTGCTGTTGTGACTTAGCTCTAGCACAGGAAGAAACGTATGGTTGGGAACTCTCAAAATCCGGCAAAATGAGATCCTCACGCAATTGCTGATATTGTCCACTGAAGACCCCGAGCACTAGTTGCCTTCTTATATGGCAAGTTGTGAAATGCTTGTCATTCTTGGTGGCCCGGCATTGGGGCATCGCTAAGGCGGTGACACCTGTCCTAAGCCATAGCTGCCAGACCTGTATTGTGTATTGCAGTTGTGGACGTATGAGTCGGGAAACTGTGGCAAAATCGATAAGTCGAATAGTCCAAATGGACCCTTCAGGAGGATATCGTGATGAATGCTCTTCTTTGAAGCATTTTCAG